CCCTCAGAACAGGAAGTGGCTTTTTTTATCCTTGGAAAGCTCCATCTCTGGCTCTCTTGACCTAATCAAGATGATTTTGTGTTGGATGAGAGATAACAAGTTGGTCTCACTTGCTTTAAAGTTCCAAGAGTTTTCAACGGAGGGCGTGGCAATGGCAGTGTGGGGAAATTTGGCTCTAAATTCTATATTTTCAAGCCGAGCTGCACCAAAATCACTAGGATGGATCCTTACCCATCCCCGAACAGGAATCCATAACAGTCGTTGATGGGCGTGGCCTAATTTCTCTACAGCGCCCCCTAGAATTTTTTAAATGATCAGCCCCAAGCCATGCTTTAACCTAGAATTATGAAACTTGGTACACATGTGTATCCTGTAAGGATGTAAAAAAAAGTCTCTTGGAGCCATGGTCCAAACCCTACAGGAAGTCGGCCATTTTGGATCAAACCCGCCATTTCCTTTTTTTCATACACATCACATCTGATCGAACTCCTCCTACAGCTTTTGAGATACAGACTTCAAACTCACTCAGCACACTTTTGAGACACTGAAGGTGAAAAGTTATCTAAAGAATTCTCGTACATTAAAGCATGTGGGCGTGGCTAAGTGTCAAACTTAGACTTTTCTCCATGAAACATGAATGTGCAATAACTTCCAAATGCCAGGTCAGAGCTGCATCAGACTTTCCATGTCTCATTATAGACCAGCCCTGATCACATTAACATGGTGAATTGATGACATCACCTAAGCCCCGACCCCCTCCAAAAGGAAGTCACCTGATTTTTCTGGTGGATGTCTTACTTATACTCTATGATTCAAATGGGATCAATCCTGTGCCAACTGATATAAAATGACATGATGATGAACTCTGTGAATGTTGGCTGCTGGCTGAACCATGTGGGCGTGGCTAAATAGTGAATAGCAATGCTCGCCATATGTCTACGATCGTCTCTAATTCACGCATGCATCATCCGATTTGCACCAGACTTTTTATGATTGACTCTGGTGAACCTCTAAAGAGCCCAATAGCATTACATTGTAATTTGACTCCACTGAGCCCACTAGGTTAATCAAAGAGTTGTATCTTCTTGCTACATGGCTCAATCTGCACCAGATTTTTGTGCATCGCCGGGGAGCGCTGCCGAACGCATCAATGCATATCGCCTGGAGGACGAGCGCGGGAGCCACACGAGAGCGTCTGCGGTGGCTGGCGTGTGGCGGTGCTGGAACCCCTGCGGTGGCCAATAGGCCGGAGCGGCGCTAAGCTGCGAGGGCCGTTCAAGGCAGCTCTTTGAGTCCGCAAACTATCACTACTGCTTCTACATCGTCATCCGAGTTTGTTTATTCTAAATTCATATATGGTATGTTGGGGGTCTTACTAGATTTTCTTCTGGAATCGGGATGTTCGTGAGTGAAATCAGTTCGATTAAACCTGTTGTACTTTTATCAGCTCTGTTGTCACAGAGATTTGGAAAATCGGCTGACAATTCTTAAATTGTGTCGTGTGAACCAGACTTAAGATTCACAAGCTCTACTCCTTTCATCTCGACCACTGCCCTAACACTCTCTGACTCTGGTCGCTTTGGCAACATTAACACATCCCTTCAAAATAAGATACAGAGGCACCACAAAAACAAACATTTTACTTCCATGAAAATTTTAACTCATGACAAATCAATGGGAGCCCTGAGCTTGTTTCTCTGCAACAAGACAGTCCCATCTATGAGTGATGGGAGACAATAACATCCAAAGTGTGTTGCTTAAATGCACAGAGTGCTTGATCTCTAGATAGCGAAGTAGTTTTGAAGCTTCATTTCCTCATTAGCAAGCTGGTCGCCGCATAACATGTAGAGTGGGCTTGGAATATGGGAATCACCTACCGGTACGGGATAAATCATTCTCCTATCTCTTCTCTGGGCCTTTTCCCCTTTGCAAAGAAACTTTCCAAAGACATCTGATCTGTTTCTTACTCACTTTGCTGCTTGTGGCTCAATGTTAGCACGTAAGACATAACCGAGAAAATTCGGTTAAAGGATTTTCAAAATAAAAGATCCTCCAGACTCAGATAATGCATAAAACAGAAATCTATTTTTTTTTTCTTGTGCAGCCCAGTACCAATTGGTCCATGGACTGGTACCGGTCTGTGGCGTGGAGTTTTTTGTTTTTTTTTTGACAATAGTAGAATATAGATAAAGATTTGTACACATTTATAATGGAAAAGCAGCTAGTGCCACCAGTCCAAACAGGTGAGGTATGTGGTGTGCACAACCTTCAGCAAAGCTGAAGGTTAAGACTAAATTTGTGTTGCTCTATTTAGGATTTGTTAAAACAGTCAGAGAGACCATAGGCTTAAAAAGAAGAGGAGTCACCCTGTTGTAAATTAATTTAATTTGTTTTTAAACGTTACTGTGTGAACTAAGATTATACAAGGGTGGACATAAATTTATATAGTAAATGTGTGTATTTATGTATAGATGAATATAGGGACTTGGAGTAAATGGTGTTTATATTTAGTGGCATATATTTGCTAATCTGCTAATTTATTTAGACTCAAAACTATAACATATCTATAGTGTCAAAGATTCTTACTATTAAATTGTGTAACTTCTACGTACGATAATGTTTTCCTTTTTTGATCTAATAACGAGGTTCCATCCAAAAACACAGTATAACTTTGTGTGGTAGGAGCCCATACTACTCCTTTTTGAACACGTCAAGATTACTGTGGCTACAAAAATATGTCTCTTCCATTCCTTATGTTTCTTATTTTATGCTATCATGTTCAAAATAAAGAAATAAAATAAGGTAAATAAAAATATATACATACATGCCAATTTGCTAAATATCGGTATTGGTGACAACATAAACTGAGGTACTCGTACTCGGTGTGGAATAAACTGGTATGGGGACACTTCTTACCAGAAAGATATCTGAGATAAGGGAAGATTGGTGTGCAGTGCAGGAGAGGAGACCAACAAGCCAGCAAGTCAAAGCAAAAAAGTTAACTATATCAAATAAAGTCATGGAAATGTTCTGGGTGTACAAAATATACATGTTTCAATTCTTGCAATGAAAACATTAAACCTCACATCAAATTTGTATTGATGCTCTAACAACAACATTAATTATTCAATCAATAATTACAGTCATTCAAGACTGTTGCTGTTATCAAAGAAAACACAACAACAAATTTCCTAAATTAATGATAAAGATTATAAAATGGTCTGGCTTTTATCCGGTTCAAAAAATAGCAAACTGCAACATCATGAAAAAAAAAAAAGAAGCTGAAGCTGTTTTAACCCCTGAACTGCCATGACGACTCATGGACCCATAGACTTACTAGTCTTTTAGGAGAGACATTTGAAAGGTACCATTACGGCAGTACAGTAATGGTAACATTTAAGAAGTCTTGCTTTTAAGAGTTGTATAATGAGTACAGGGAGTTCTTTAGTAATTACAGTATAGTGTCTCTTAACAAAACAATTAAATGTTTGGAAAGAGATCCAAGTACGCCAAGGAGTAAGAGAGAAAATCTAATGGTAAGTAATCCAGCCAAAGCTTTAGAGAATCTGGCTCTCTTGTCAAGTCAAATGGAAAAAGTAAATTTTTTTCTGCTTTATATTCCTGCTTCAATGTAAAACAACATTTAGTTTGTAAAATTCAAAACAAAATTTTAATGTAAAGCTTCCCTGAGTTGTGAGACATTGGCTTATAAAAAGCAAAATAACACTGACAGGCTGAGAAAACGAGGAGTACCTGAGGACTGTTCAGTAAACTCTTTGGGAAACTGCACTCCAGGAGCAGACCCAGAATGGTGATGTTAGAGGCATCTTCCTGCAGAAACACACAGCAACAGCATGTCAGTGCAGGGGGTCGAAGACAGGACGACCCTGGCTAAAACTAAATCACTAATGGCTGTAACACCCTCACCCTTATACATGAATCTGTTGCTCAACTGGACAACTCCTTCAGTGACAGTGTTGCAAAGCAGGTGCACAAAGGAGCATTATTGAAGATCCTTTATTTCCTCTCTGTATGATTGCATTCCCTAAGATCCTTGTCCCTAAAGATAAATTTAATCATCTCTTTTTGGTTTCACTTTTTAAACATTGATCATCAGCATACACACCTGATATGTAGATCAGACTAAGGTAACTACATGTCAATACTATGAAAGTTTGCTGATTAGAGAAAAACTGGCAGTAAATCACCCAATTAAGCAACAGTCATGGTTATTGTGAGAGCTGATGGCCATACTGACATTTTCAAACTGCCACCTCACTTCCTGTTGTGGAGGGGAGAATATGTTTCAGATGCCTCTCGCACACACAAACACACACTTGCACTGCCTCAGATTGCCTCTCAATCTATGAACAGGTCAGACGGTGGTGTTCACGCTGTGTGCTCCTGAAAAATGTAAAAACACTGAGAAAACAGTGTGTGTTCACAACGGACCTAAAAAATGAAGCTTAGCATGCCTGCCATTAGCCATCAACCATCCACTAATTTAATCAGAGTGGGTGTGTCTGTGCACGTGTGTGTGTGTGTGTGTGTGTGTGTGTGTGTGTGTGTGTGTGCGTGTGCGTGTGTGTGTAAGCATATTTGTCTGGGCTAGCAGGAAAAAGAAAATCAGCTGTTTCCAATTATGCTCTTATTGACTGTTATGCAAGGTCTGAATGAACAAGCTCATCAGCATTTGGATGCATACCTGAGTTTGGGTCAACTTTATGCTCTGGATGTGAGGGAACATTAGATGAGTTTTCTTTCGTTGGGAAGATTTCAACGAAGTTTGGTGGCTTCCCACACCAAACACCTGAAGAAAAGAAAGTTAAAGTGACAAGCTTACTGTACTCCAGATAAACACTGATATACAAAAAAAAAACATTTACTTAGAAAGTCATCAGAAAACTATAAAACTTGAATAAATGAAGATCAGATGTGTATTCTCTGTTGGAAGTTCAATTGGTAAGTAGAAAACCATCAGAGCTATAAGGAGGGCAGGTACATTAGCATGTTATAGATAAACAGAACTGTGCTAAAATGAGACAAAGGCTAAAAACAATTCAAGCTAATTTAATCAAAAGCAATCAAACCAATGTACACTTAATGAAAATTGTGTTATTTAAAACTAAGAGGAAAGTCCAGCAACTTAAAAAGTGAAAAAACAACAAAAAAAACAAAAACAAAAAAAACTGAAGTAATTTAGTGGCATTTTCCTGACAGATCAACATTTAATAAGTGCAGTGTGAATTTAATAAGCATCTCTAAGACGTTTGCAATCAACAATTAATCACATAATTTAAAACAAACTTCATAATTTCCATTTAACTGATTATTTTTTTGAAGGACTTCATAATCCATTTTATTTGTAGTTTGTGTTGTGTGGTTTTATTTCCATTTAATTTATTGTTGTTGGTGGTTGTGTTTTATTTTTGGACATTTAAAATATCTTCCAGTTCCAGTGTTACATGTTTCTATAAAATTAAAGTTTATTGGTCTTTCACAGAACAATCTTGCATTATTGTGCCATTGTTAATACATTACTTGAAAATGGTCTCAAAACAACACTATTCTTTACTGCAACAATTACTGGGACAATTTATCATGGAGGAAAATGTGTTATCGTGACAGGTCTACTGATTAATCTGTTCTACAAAATAAATTTAGTGTAACTAACTGCCTCCAGAAAACAGCTAAGCAGAAAATATAGTCCAGAATACAATACACTGGCGTATTGGATTCTTAGGATAAATCCAGATTGCGTGCAAACATAGGACATTTGCTAGAGAGCATTAATGAACAGCTTCATGAAAACCAAGGAAGGTAGCAGTCGGATCAGGGAGGACCCTATGGAGATGTTTCAAAGTAGGGTTAGATTAGCTTATAAAACCAAGTCCTAACCTTCAGCTATGTTATGGAACACCGCTGATTCAGAAGTAAATGGAAAAAAATATTTCCTATTTAGTTGGTAAATGGAAAATATTTATGATCTAAATATTTTTAGATATTTAGATTGTTTTTATTTTTAGATATTAGATATCTAAAAATAGCTGCCTGCTATTTAGATTGTAAATGACGTGGCTGTCCACCTAAACTGACAGTTTAAACAAGAGAAGCTTAAGAGAGTGCATCTCTTGACTATAGATGCAATCAAGAGGGTTAACTATGGAGCTGCTTCAGAAATCCACAACTCAGGTCGGCAAATTCGTCGGCAGACAACCATCAGTTGTGCACGCCACAAACCTCACCTGTTTGGACTGGTGGCACTAGCTGCTTTTCCATTATAAATGTGCACAAACCTTTATCTATATTCTACTACTGTTAAAAAAAAAACTTTTGCAATTGCAGTGTTTCCTTTAAATAAAAAATGAAAGTAAAATCATACGTGATTAAACTAATTCATGCGGCAAGTCATTAAAAGCTATAGCGGTGATGGATGTAAACAGTTACATTAAATACATTCATAATTCAGCCCTGGCACCAACTTTCAAGCTCCAACGCCTGAATAAGACCCTGATGTCTGATGACATTGCTGCCACAGGGCTTGTGGCTCCATATGTAAGGAGTCACAAGCCCTGTGTTCAGATGTGTTAATCTGTTAGAAACATATCTCATAAGGATGAACTGCTGCCAAAGGTGAAGCTATGAAGCACTGACTAGGCCTGTCACATCAAACAATAAATCAATTAATCGCATGATAAATTAAAATGACTGCAATCATTTTCATTTGCATGATTAATCATTTTTCTCTTCCTACCAAAAACAAGCCTTCAGTTTGGTGCCTTGGTCTGAACTTGTCCTTTTTTTGAAGGCCAATTTTGTTTACAAAGAGTTCATAATTCATTTTATTTGTTTTTTCTGTTGTTTGTTTTGGATATTTAAAATGTCTTCCAGTTCCAGTGTTCATAGATTGCCTCTCAATCTACGAACAAGATTGAGAGGCAATCTCAATCTTGTTGAGTTTGAGATTGCATAATAATGTTCTTGCATTATTATCCCTTTTCCATTTTATTGCTTAGAAATTGTTTCTAAGCAACAATAGTATCGTTGATCACAATAACTTCTGGGACAATTTATCATCCAGTAAAATTAGTTATCGTGACAGGTATAGTACTGACCCAGTGGTGCTGCATATAAATGTAAACCACAATATGAATCTCTGTCCTTGTAAATAAATGTAAAAAAAAATGTACATAAAAAAAGCATTGGTGCTTTTTTTTGTTAGACTTTACAATTATGAAATATATTTTATTGGTATGCCACATAAAATTCTAATAGGATACAGGAATCTGTGGTCGAAACAGTCCAGTATGTGGAAAACTTTTACATGGTTTGATAATGCTGGATAATACCACAGTCAAAAAAAAAAAAGCCCAGTGGGAAAGGTTATTCATATACTGACCTGGTACGAAAGCAGCCCATGGGCTGATGTGTTTATAAATAATGTGTTTTCTACACTGCCCTCCTCAGATGGGAGGAAAATTAGTTTAAAAGATGCCTTTCCCTTCGGTGGTATGACCTACAGCACAAAAAGAACATTTCAAAACCCTTCAGTAAAACACAAATCATTGAAACACTAACAAACACTGGTATTTGTGAACATACTTACTCTTCTGTGAAAGGAAGGTATGTAAAATTGCCTGCTGGATGGAAACATTGACAGCAGGGTCACAGGAACTTCCTGGCTGGGGTTGTGTATATATATGGTTTCAGCTCTTGGCAACCCCAGCGGCCTGTAGGCAGCAGAGTATTAAGATCAGCACGGAAAACATTCATCCTGAATACACTGAGGTCAGCAGGAATAAAGTGGAGCAAAACATTCAAAAGAGGCAAATCATAAATTCCTTTCACACAAACTCTAGCAGTTCATTTATGGCTTCTGTTTCACAATGTGACACAAAGGTTTACATGTTATATGTATTAGGTCAACATTTTTTTCTATATTCCAGTAAAAAAGAATTAAAAATCCCATGTTAACGTTCATAAGATAAAGCATGTCTTTTAATCATTAGTCAGTACAACAAAGCAAAACTGTTTCTGAGCATTTTGTCAGCATGAAGAAGATGGAAACCATTTACATTCACTAGATGCAACTCTTCAGCTATGAGCTGTGCACATTTCACCTGAATGAGCTGGTGATGTCAGCAGTAAAAGCACATACAAGAGCAAGCAGAAAAGGAATGCCTATAAAAAACACTTATGAGATCAGGACTGAGGTCATCTCTCTCTGGGCTTGGCCAGTCTGTTACGCTGCGACACTCAAACATGATTCAAAATGATTCACTACCAATAAATACCGTCTGCTCTGCAAGCACACCAAGCTGAATAAGCCTAAACGTTCTACCATTTACACTATGAAACTACCACACATCAATCCATACAGCAGCAGTGCCCTAATTAGACAAAATCAAAGAACAGTGGCAGCTGGAGATGAGATTGAGAATAACTGAGTCATAGTGGCAGCAGGCAACTAGGCTTATCATCAATATGTATTAGACATGGCTTAATACAATTTAAGGTTGTTCATAGGCTCCATTTGTCAAACAGTAAACTTGCAAAGTTGTTTCCAGGGTCAGAAGAGGCTTGCCCAAGATACTATAAAAGCGAGAAAGGCACACTTGGACATATGTTCTGGGAATGCCAAAAACTGCAGGGCTTCTGGACTGTATTAAGGTTCCTGTGTGTGTCGTGGAATATTAATATTCCCCCAAACCCTCTCACTGCAATATTTAGGGTTGTTTCTCTGACATGTGGTGTGTCCATCTGGCATGCTTCAACTGTAGCCTTTTCCATATTGATTGCCCGTTGACTCATACTCTTATCGTGGAAAAGAGAGACACCCCTTTCCCATAAGCGATACATTGAGGACTTGCTCTCAAACCTGTTGAACAACAGAGGCATGTTGTGCATGGTTCTGCCAACACATTTTACAAAATATGGCATATTGAGACACTCCCAGTCAATTCAGCATAAAGTCAAGTAAGATTTGGGGGGCTGGAGGAGTTCCCCCTTTGGTTTGCTTTGTTTATCTATGTAACAGATGTGTGGATTTGAATGTATTGGTTGGGGATTTATTTTGCTGAAAATCCAATAAAATATTAAAATAGAGAAACTACCACATCTCTCCTAACATTCATCTGCTAGTCAGATACAACAAAGGTAGTCAAACATTTCTGGGTGTATATTATTTATTATGTAGTGTTTCTGGTTTTTAGATGCAATTTTTCTGGAAAGCAGGTGTATAGCAATGCAATTACAGTCTCCATGTTTGGTAGTGAGGTTCTAACAGAAAGTACAACTGCTGTTCCACGAATACTGTTGTTGGCCTGCAGTATTTCTAACTTCAGTGCTATGGATTTTAGCTGAGCTCATGTAGCACAGGTATTTATTAAATATGTTTCAAGTTTAAAACAGACTTGTCTCATTCAGCATTTTTTGCATTGCAGAGTAAAAGTTTATGAAAACTTAAAATTAATTTACATAATTTCAAAACAGCATTCAATACTTCTCTTTTTAGACTTCCTAGTGAGCTTAGACATTTAAATAATAGTTTCCTAATGTGAGCAGTTTTACATGCATTACAGTATTTTTGTTTCAGAATTTTTGAAGTTCTCTCAAATGATTTTTATCACCTAGCTTATAATGTTGGGTTGTAGCCTTATTCCAAATAATTAGCTATACTAAATGCCATATTTGAATAAGTTCTGTAAAAACAAAGAAAATACAAAATAATATTTGAGGCTTGTACTAAATTCAAAAACTCAGAGATTTTAAAAAGTATTTAAATACAATTACTTTGTAGAGTATAAATCTAAATCAATGCTCACAGACATGGATGCTTTTGCATTTCAACCTTTGTTTTACACTTTCCTATTATTGCCAAGCAATATGGGAATCATAGGAAAGTGTGCAGAAGGCCATGCAACAGACTTGTCATCAGACATTTTAAGTTTGAACTGAACTGTTCTCACTTCCTGCTCGTCTCCGAGTGTGACTTTACTTTCATTTTAGGAAACTCCATCACGGCCTGCATGAGAATGAAACCTGGACATCAAGTTCAGTAAATCTAGGTTTTAGATTTGAATGAAATATCTATATAAAATCATATCTAATATCATAGTGTTTTCAAGGACATGTTAATTATTTTATTTATTAGTTATCCATTTAAGTAGGGGTCAGTACTTCTTCAAAACATGACATGCATTTCTAATAGTATTTTAATAGTCTTTAGCAGTCAGCTGTTCTGACAATACTTGCATAAAAAGGGAACCACAAGATTGATGAGTGGGACATTCATTTCCCCAAAGCAATTATGTGTAGTTGTGAAGACATTTGTCCAGCACTGCTGAGATTTGGGGTGCCTAGCTTCTGCATTCTAAATGCATAATATAAATCATTTGAATTATTTCTTATGTTCAACAGGATGGGCAGAAAATGTTGTCAACCTGCAGAATTAGGTTCTGTGTATTTTTAGGCAGTTCTTTTTTCCGTTTGAAATGAAAAAAGAAAAAAAACGAAAATAGACTCGTTTTTTTGTTTTTCGTTTATCAAACCAAAATCAGAAATCGGATAACGGCTCGTCTCTGCTCATTATCTAATTTCCCATTTAGTGCAATGGAAAAAAACAGATAACGAGCGCTCAATTTCGATTTTCATGATTTCATTTTTGACAAGTCTGCTGACCCGGACGTTCTCTCTGCCAGAGTTAAGTACACTATTAATTTTTCACAAAAATTGTTTTTAGATGTTTTGAGGCGAGAAAATAGTTCTCATAGCTTCATCTATCCATTTAGTGAATAAAAAATTAGGCTTCTTTGAAATGTGCTCTGGAGGTTTTGGAGCAACGTAGCTCCGCGTGGCCAAGAGGCTCCAGGCTCAGTGGGCGGCTGGACTGCATCTTAACCGCAAACTGCAGCCTGATCTTGGCAAGTCACCCTGTCATTTTCTGCTGTTTATTATCTGTTCGTAACGGCTCAAAGTGTGATATGAAGAGCTTAATGTCTTTTTAGGCTATATGAATCGTTTGATACATGTACCAAAATATAATATACTTCTCTAGAGAGTTTGATACTTCTGAAGATATTTTGCACAGTGTTTTCTTCCAATTCCAGTTACTAATATTCCCTTCCTCATGGATGTTTTTGAGTTTGTAAATTCATTTATTTTGTGTGTGTGTGTGCGTGTGTGAAATATGCACTTCCCTTCCCTTCAATTGGCTTCTTACGTGCAGTGTGAACCTTTTAAATTATTTACTTTTTATTTTTTTAGGTAGGTGGCTCTTCAGGAGAAACCTCAGCTCCAGGTTTGGATGCAGCTTCCCTAGTGAATCTCCTAGTGATCCTCTTTCTCCTCCTGACATCGTCTTCTTTACTGTCTCCTCATCTTTTATATAATTATATTATAGGAATATTTTTTTCCATATTATTACTGTATTGATTTTACATCTAAGATAAATATTTCCCAAATAAGGTCTATTTTTATAACTAGTCGTAGTTCCCTTTAAGAAGGAGGGGCCCTGATTTCTGAAACTACAATTCTGATGGTTGTGATGTCATAATCTCCATCAGGGATCAAAACAAAGGGTTGCTATCAATTTTATGAGGGGTAGATATGATTGCATTTGTTTAAGTTTGGATATCTTGTCATGACTCCAGGAATTGTAGCTGGAGCTCAGCAAAAGCAGCACTTACTGTGTCCCAAAATCCAACACTGGGGGCTGAATATGCAGAGGCATCCCATTCTCTTGTGTATATGGAGAGGAACTGTTCAAAAGAAAACACACACAAAAAGTGTTAAACATAAAGTACTTATGGTTAGGTTTCTTTAAGAATCAGTTTCACATTGAAAGAGACCAAGTAACTCACATTTGACCTGCCATTGATGTGTCTCTGAGCAATGCAGGTAGTCATAGAACTGAGTTAGTTAGCAGGTCTAAATGTTAGCTATGTGTTACTTGCTTTTCCTTTGAGGATTACCCTGGACAGCTCACTAGATCATCACATGACAACACAGATACACAAAGGACAAACAACCACTAACTCATAAACACAATTTAAACACACACAATCCATTGCTATTGCAAAGGATTGTGTAATTTTGAAATTTCAATGTTGGCAAACACTAAAATTACAATGATGACTGCAGCTCAAGTTAAGTTAAAGGTATGACAGATTTCCCCCAGTGCGTCATAAGCCTGGCAGGCCAACAGGTTTTGCTTGCCCCCTGCCAGGCTAAGCGTTGCCTTGTTAACAATTTAAATAGGCTTTTCTTATACCCCATTAACTCAAGACTGTGTTCCACTTTGCTGGGCACTTTACTGGAGGAGTGGAGTCCTTTCTGAAAAACCAGGAGCGCATACCAATCACGCTGTTGCCAGCCTAGCACGCTATTGCGACTGCATCTCTTAGGTTTTGCACCTCGTCGTGCTCATGCACATCACCTTTCACTCAAACTAGGTGCGCACTGAGTGCCATGACAATACGAGCAAAAATTTTATGTGGTGTTGGCTCTGTGTCTGTGCTGAAGCTTGATGAAGTTTGCATGAATCAGGAATAAAACTGGTTATTTTAGTACTTTTTGCTATTTATTCAAGTTTTGAGCACTCAAGGAAAGTTTCCCTCACAAAGTCTTATTGAGCTCATCAACATCTAATATTAAGTAGGATAACTGGGCATTAATTATCCAACCTCAGTTTATTCTTACTTTATGTAATGACCATTGCCATTTTTTTGCCCTTCATATTAGTAACATTTTAATAATCCGTATGTCTGGTACCTGTGTGTTTCATGTCATTGAGCACCTCTGAACACACGATGAAGAGACGAAAGGCAGCTGAAGACCAATACACGAAAGAGGAAGTTCAATGGTTTACGCTTTCCCTCTTTATACAGGCCAATAAACCAATCGACATGACACTCTGATCAGGAACTACATTTTACTAAGAACAGTTTTATTCATCTATCACTGTGCAACTCCTAAAGCTAGCTCTTACAGCCAGTTGAAAGTGGCTTCAGAAACATGGCTAAAAGAAGTTCAATGCATTCTTTGCAGAGAGTTAAAGATAAGTTTCATAATCCTCACAAATCTAATGCAAAAATAAAGAACAAAGCAAAAGTTTAAATGCAACTAATAGATTTTCCTGACTTTATATTAACACCAGCGTGTTCATCAATAAGAAAGAAAATTACCAGATGCAGCATAATTTACTGTAGAAAAGAACAAACAAAAACTATCGTAATAAAACTAAACACAAACGATAGGCACGGAAACATTAAACTTGATCAACCTGTGTTTTTCTTCTTGAGCAGTTACAGTGAAGACAACAGTTACTGCTATTTTTCTTACCCTCTACCACAGCTTCCTGCACTGCAGTAGGGTCAGCTATAGATGTAGGACTACAGTAGAGGAAGTGACTGACATGATGTTGCAGCCACTCTGCAGCTTTTCAGCTTGAGGCTGCAAGTACTAAACCCTTGGTTCAGATAAACCGCCTCTCCACCATCAGCAGCTTACATGCAGATGAAACCAAGTGTGCACATACACAGGACATGCAATTTGGGAGGAGAAAGCGCGCGATTTGTGGAATTGGTCTTGCAAAGTTATGAAGGGTTACACAAGGCTACCACACTGGCCCTAATGAATACTGGTTTTTAATTCTAGAAATTTCTGTTTTGCTCCTTTTCTCAAGTTTACATTTGGTGGTGAATGTATCAAAATATATTGACCGAGTTCATTCAGCGTCATTAACATTTTTTCCTGTCAGCCATATTTAAATTTTCATTCTAGTTCATACTAAACATAAGTTTAACTTTTATAATGGAAAAATTTTACTATTTTTTGAATGTCTCCGCCTCATTTTAAAACAATATATTTAAAAATATTTGCATTAGACCCTCTGAAAACCAAAAGCCTCTGCAACAACATAAGACTGCAAATATTGAGCTGTGAAATAAAAATGTATAAAGAGAAATATCTTTAAAGGCTCAAGGTTATAGCACTGTCAGACAGACATGAGGGAACAGTCTGCAAATGTGTTGGTGAAGAATGCTAACACTGTCTATCTAGAATTATAAATGCTGGTTAATTCTTAACTTGTCAAGCAGTATAACTTCGAATACCACTCCTCAGAGGGAAAAACAAGGGTAGATAAGCAATGAGGGGTCAGATGTGAAAGGAAAGTGATGCCGTCTCCCTTTGCAAAGCTTCACTGGTCACCAGTCAAAGTATTGAACTACAAATTTTAATACCGTATCAACAAAATGTATTGAAGTTTGTTGTTGGTGCTCCAGAAAATGAGAAATGAGAAAAAGTTTGACGAGAATGAAACATTTTCTTAAAAAAAAAAAAAAAAAAAAACTAAGCGATGGAAACTATTACCGTGCATTCATTCATGAAACTGATCGTTGTAAATATCTAAACTCAGTGTACTTAGTTCTGTTAATTACTTCAAAGTTGTCTTGCTGGTCCTACTTTACATGGGAGTAACTCAGCATATTCCCTTTGAAAAGAAAACCCTACCATCCTACCAACAAGTGTTGCTCTGTACTCTAACACACCAGTTCTGACCACTGCTCAGTACAAAAATAGCTTGTGTTTGGTGCCATTTGATCCCTGAGATGCAAGTCAAACAACGTTGGTGGTAGCAGTGACCTTAATGGTGCCACAGGGGATAGGTTAGGAAGAGAAGAGTGTGGGCCAGCCATTATTCACACAAATGTTTGCATAAGAAAACACAGCAGGACAAAAACAAGTCTAAAATAACTGTTGTTTCAAATGACTATACATCAAAAAAGAGTCTCTCTCACACACGCACGTGCGCGCACACACACACACACACACACACACACACACACACACAAGGAAAGAAGATCAGGCATTTTGAGGCCTAGCACAGACGGAAATGCCATTAACCTCTCTATCTGCTTCCTAATTAGCTCTTTTGACTGGGAGAGGGTGATGGCAGACCTGGTCAGTGGCTGATAACCCACATATGAGAGGCTTCACAGCCCACAGCACCTGGAATTAAAACCAGCCATATTCTCACTCTGTTCAGCTGATGTACATAAAACAAGATACACCTTATCATCTAAGCTGAAAAGTTGTCAGACAAGTTCTTTAAGTTAACCAGACTTTTAGAAGTACTAAACTTCTTCAGTCTATCTGGATTTGGGATATTTTTCTTTTTACAAAAACATATCAGTAAAGGCTGAACATTAATCTTATTCATTTACTGTGATTCTTACTACTGCAGATGTGACAAATTAAAAAATCCATGAAAATGATCAGTTGTAAACCAGTACACGCTGAGTATAATATCAGGGTAAGACTTTACATAATCACTTCCTCTATGTGAAAGGCAGTATGCATTACTCTTTTACTCTTTAATCTCTTTTTTAATCTTTCTGGAAACACAAAGAGAAAAGACTGAAATATCTAGAATCAACAACCAGACATTGTGAAGGTTCTGTGATGTTTCCAAGCTTTCACTGTGACAACCACTTACAAGTCAAGCTGTTTATATTCTGATTATAACATCTGTTTTCTGAGGAAGCAAAAAGACCAGAGATGGCACTTCTCCACTTTTTTTTCTATTTTTTTCAAAGAGTTCTAAAATTAGTCAGGAATTTGGTTCTGTGTCTCTGGAACGCACCCCCCTAAACTCTGTCCATCACACACCCTCTCTCTTACTAACATAAACAACAGCCTGTATGCTGGGAAAGTCTTCTAAAGGACCTTTAACACAAGCCTATTAACCAGAATCGCATTTTTTCTCTTCCTTTATGAAGAAAAAACTAAGTCTCCTCATCTTCCCACAAATACTATATTCTCCTCGATATATGCATTTCTAAACTGTAGAAAATTAAGCTACACTGAAGTACAATTCACAGTTAGTCTCTCCACTCTGACACAATCTCTTGACTTCAGATAATTAAAGATGAGTTGATACTGATGTAATGTGTTTCATTCAAGCATGCAAGAAAACTTCCCATGAGCCCTGTCTATTTTATTCATAAGCTCAACTTAGTTATGAAAAGCAGGGTTGCATCTAAGCACCTTGTGTCTATAGTGCATCAGAAACAGATTTTTTTTAAAGCAGAAGTTGCATGATATTGGAGGAGCTCTTACCCGTCTTCCAGAGGAAGACCATCTCTTCTTCGCTCCTCCACCACCTGCAAATAAAAGCAAAACAAGACATCATTTAGAAAGGTTAATGTGAAGAAATGCATTTTCTATCACAGTTTGGTCATAGAAACTGTGACCAAACTGTCACAGTTTCTATGGCTGTGACTGTATATCCCAAATATCAGTTGGGATATTTGTGGATTGCCTCATGTCTGCCACACATTTTGCAAGCATTGACATTGTACACGGGATAGAAAAACAAGTGTCTCTGACATTAACTCTGTTTTCAAAATGCACATGCAGCTTAAATTAATGAATCCAGGATTGATAATCAAATCATAGGGACAACAGTAGGATTTTTATCAAATCAGGCATAGATACTATGCCTGATAGTATCAGCTAAACTTCTGTACTCCAGTCTGAGCATGTCTTGTGGAAAGCTCCCAAACACAGCTGAAACTAGATATCTACACTGGAAAAACAGGCAGCTGTTTTTCTAACTGTCAGACATAGGGCAGCGTGATATTAAGAAAACTGCTGTGATGAAGAAATAAATAAAATCTAAATGTATCCATTCAAGCAATGCACAACCTGTTGTGAGATTTATTTTATAGTTAGTAGGCAATAAGACCCAACTACAATTTTAAATCAATTTAATCCAGACCACAATAAGTAATTAAAAACCTTAAGAAAAACGTTTTCATTATTTTAGAGTCAGGAGCATTCATTATAGGGCTGAAAGTTTATAGAAAATTGTGAAATGGCGACAATATTGGTAAATATTGCGATAATTTCCTCAATTGTGTCTTCTTTCCTCTCCTTCGCATCTCTACTTCCATCGTTTGCTGTCCTTTAGAATTTTGGACTATGTCACTAGTAGGGTTGTGCCGATCAATCGATCATTGATCATAATTGGTCAGTTTCCATGAAAAAGTATATAATCGGTGATTGCCGACCACTCTCTTGCTGATGATCACAAAAACCGATTACCTGTGTCTCATACTGTGCAGCCTGCAGAGGCCCTGTGTATCTCCCACTTTCCTTTAGGCATGCAATCCCAAACCTTAAGCAATGCTGTGTGTAACTTTAAAGCTTTGAGAGTGAACGGGAAAGTTTGTGTGTTGCAACAAAAAAAATATTTTTTGGGTGAGGCAAGTCAAAATGGACCACCACAACAAAATTAATACGACATTTATTTATATCGAGGCTGAATGCAGGGGGAAAAAAAGACATCCAGAGCTATCAGATAGTGGGTAAAGCAGCACATAATTGCCAACACTTATCTGGATGAGTATGATGGTCAGAAAGCTAAGCAAATAACCCAAAAAATAATTGAAGTCATCGAGCTAAATGACCAGCGGTGAAACACGCTGGGTTCTACTCGTGCTGTTGGACCTCCACTACACGCTACTGGGAAGTAATATCTCAGAGAAGTATAGACACTAGAGCTGCACCAGACAGTGTTCTCTCACATCAAACGTCTCCTTCAAGCTGCAGCATGTAACTTAAAAAAAATAATAAAGTTTTTACATAACAAATAAACTTTTGCTATGTCCTAACCTGAGACAAATAATGTGTGAAAAAAAAGAATTGTTCACTCAGCAACAACCAATCAGAACCAGCACAAAGCAACTAGCTGTGCTCTCAGGCAGTTTTGATTTGGCAACTTAGGATTGCTTTATAAAGCATCCTGCATTTGCCATTTAATGAATGTTTCCTTTTTTACATACATGATTTGAGGCAGTGTTGTGAGATTTATTTGACTGTATAATTTAGGCTATAATTTAGCTTTACTGTTAAATATTGTATTACTGATTGGAGATCTTTCAGTCATCCTTTAGACTGAACATGAGCATTGTGCCTGCAAGTATTTTTGCATGTTTTTGTCTAAATTAGACTATTTTATGATTCCATTTTGCCACATCACATAGTGGCATTTATACCAAAAGTGAAAAATTAACAGTCAATCCATGTGATGAGTATCTGTGATCGGCACTCATGGGTGATCGGTATCAGAATCGGCAGAAAACAACATTATCGGAGCACTAGTTACTGGGGTTCAGTAAAGGTGTGATGAGGTGTAAAACTCAATACAAGACGGTACACAATATTGAATTTACAAGAATGAGACTGGACAAGATTTAGGTATTACTTTAAAAAAAGCAACATGGGTCAATATTATTGACCCATGTTGCTTAAACGAACTTTAGGGACTTTATTCTGCATTTTTCCACCAAAAACTCAAACTCATGTCATTTTTGTGGCTTCTTGAAATTCATCAGACATTAGGTAGTGCTTCAACGAGGCAATGTTTGAAGTACATTTACCATTTCCCAGTTGCTGTTGATAGCGTGTTTGCTGGGATTGTGATGAAGCTCAACATTCCCCTAGACATCCAGCCATCAGTGGCTACAAACATGTTGCATGTTATTGTTTTCATCCAGAATTTTTGCGCGATGCTGGAGGGCAGAAAGACAATTCTTTTAGATGCAATTCATAGCCGCGCTGCCGTGGTAGAACAATTCTATTATACTGAAACCTGAAGATATACCGTGTTTCCCCGAAAGTAAGACAGTGTCTTACTTTCTTTTTATCCCCAAGAGCCCCACTATGTCTTACTTTCGGGGTATGTCTTATATTAGAAAAAAATTGTCGAAAGTCTAATGAACGTATGGAGAGGGGGACGGCGCGGTGACGTATGGAGAGGGGGACGGCGCAGGCGTGGGCAGGAGGCGGCGCTCATTTGGATCAGACGGAGGCGGCAGACGCGGTAACGTATGGAGGGGGGTGGCGCGGAAGTGGGCAGGAGGCGGCGCTCATTTGGATCAGACGGAGGCGGCAGACGCGGTAACGTATGGAGGGGGGTGGCGCGGAAGTGGGCAGGAGGCGGCGCTCATTTGGATCAGACGGAGGCGGCAGA